GCCCCGCCACAACACCTGGCTATTTTTTCGTTGCAGCTGTCATTGTTGTTTGGCGGGCCCGGGCTAAACTCGAACCCGCTACCTTAGGTGTATGTAGCTGGTGCCTTAGCCACTTGAGCCACAGGCGCCGAGCCAATGTGATGAATTTTTGCAATGTTTTCATCTGTTCTGTTCGTTACTGGCCACCCTGACCTCTTTTCATCAGTGACCCATTTTCTCCCCTCAGAAAAATTTATAATCCATTTATACACTCCTTTTTTCTTCATGGCTTTATCCCTGTAAACTTGGACGAACATGTCACTGATTTCACTTCCACACTTGCCAAGTTTAACAAATATAGTGTTTGTTCATTGTTCTAATTCAAGCTCTGACATTCTTGCTACAACATACAAAAACAAGTAACTATGATAATGAATGCCACTCAGTAAGACACTGCCACACGTTGACGTGAACACAGCTATGAAACCTTACTGAGCTCTTTATACAGTGCTGCCAATATAAGCACATGGTGGCAAGTCCTTGAACTTAGAATCCTCAGTCCTCATATTAGAGAAGAACAAAGAAGCAGATTTTATTTTCATCAAAATGACTGAAATTTTTTCTATATATCATGATTAGTTAATGTTAGGAAAAATTATACCCAGAATGCATCATATGAAGTGACTTTTTTATTTTAGTAGTGTACATTTTCAATTCAACAAACATTAATTGAGCATGCACTATCCGTGTGTAATAAAAAGACAAAATAGGTTGCTTCCTGTAAGGAACTTGTCTCATGAAAGGCATTAAAAAAAAAACCCAAACTTGTCTCTAGGATGTTCCGGTGGAATACTTCTTTGTGAAATGCAATGGAGCACTCATTAATACCTGTGATACAGTGCAGCATGAAGCTGTTTATAGTTTGGAACCCAGGCTTCTTGGTGGAAAAGGAGGTAAGTCATGAAAACTGATTACTTCTTAGCTATAGCACTTGTAGTCTTTAGCCATAAATATTAAACTAACAAAAACCTTGGTCTCTGTTTTTGTTTTTGGCCAGGGCTGGGTTTAAACCCACCACCTCTGGTATATGGGGCCAGCGACCTACTCCTTGAGCCACAGATGCTGCCCCAAGCCTTGGTCTCTGTAGTATATCAGTCTTATTTTGCCTTATGAAATCCTTTATTTACTTAACCTAATTTTCAATATTTTCCCTTTTATTCTTTGTGAGGAAGAAATATATAATTTTTACCTTTCTTAGAGAACCTATGCTATAAAATTTGAGAGATTCCTGACTGAGCATGGTGCCTCACATCTGTAGTCCCAGCTACTCAGGAGGCAAAGGCAGGAGGTGGCTTAAGCCCAGAAGTTTGAGGTTGCTCTGAGCAAGGCTGAGGCCATGGCACTCTACTAGCCTGAGCAACAGAGCCTGATTCTATCTCTGAAAAAACCCAACTTTAAGAGATTCCCTAGCAAGCAGAATCAGGTGGTTAGATAAAAGAAAAATGACCATTATTCTGTCTGATTTGTTAAAAAAGTGGTCTTTTTAAAATCTGATTTTATCAAGATTTTGTATTGTATTATTGTTCCAGGAGAAGTCTAAAGTCACCTTAAGAATATGAACAATTCTTCATTTCTCCTAATGTACTAACGTGTTATTTTTATATATATAAATATATATACATATATATAAAAAATATATACATATATATAAAAAAATATATATATACATATATATATAGTTTTTTGAGACAGAATTTCACTTTGTCACCCTTAGTAGAGTGCTGTGGTGTCATAGCTCACAGCAAGCTCAAACTCTTGGGCTCAAGTGGTCCTTGTGCCTCAGCCTCCTAAGTAGTAGTGACTATAGGTGCCTGCCACAATGCCCGGCTATTTTTAGAGAGAGGGTCTCACCTTTTGAGATAGAGCCTGGGCATTATCAGAGCTTGCTGAAACATCAAACTCCTGGGCTTGAGTTGAGTGATCCTCTTGTCTCAGCCTCCCAAGTACAGGAGAAACACGAATTACAGGTACAGAACATTCCCAGCTAATTTTTTTATTTATTGTAGAGACAGGATCTTGCTCTTTCTTAAGCTGTTCTCAAACTCCTGGCCTCAAGTGATCCTCTCACTTCAGCCTCCCACGATGTTAGTATTATAGGCATGAGCCTCTCTGCCTGGCATATCATTTCATTTTTAAATTCTTAATCTGGAAATCTAGGGATCTTTGGCATTGCTAAAGCCCTTTAAAAATTCCAGCCTTATAGGCCTGGTATTTTAGAAATAGAAAATGAAGTATGAAAGGCATGAAGTTGTATCTGTGTTTTTACCTTTGCTGCCTGGGTTAGAATGTTTATATCCATCTCCTTTAAAAAAACAAAGTAGAGATTATTATTAATCTTGTGATAACAGACTATATTCACAAATTTGGCTTTTCTTCATCCTGAAACACATTTTAACCTGCTTTCTCCAAATATGTCTGCTCAGGTTTTGGATCTATGCTCCGAGCACTTGGTGCTCAGATTGAGAAGACAACCAATAGAGAAGCTTGCCGGGATCTCAGTGGAAGGAGACTTAGAGATGTCAATCACGAAAAAGCGTAAGATGCCCACCTTTTGTGTTTTTGGAGAGACATATACTTCCCTATTAACAGTGATTTTTCTTTCTTTTTTTTTTCTGAAGACAGAGTCTCACTTTGTTGCTTTTTGGTAGAGTGCCACGGCATCATAGCTCATAGTAA